AAAGATAGTGCTCTTTAACTCGCCTTTTAAACACTGAAACTGCGTGAGCCTTACGAATTGCAGCAGAAAGAGAATTCCATAACCTAACTGCATGTACTATAAAAAAATGATAATAGTACTTAGTTCTGGAGGTAGGGAAATTTGGGGGTTTTTAAATATGATCTGCAAACTTGATCGGGACAACGAGCAAAGTGGAATCGATCACGTAGTTACGGTGGTGATGTTGGATTGTAGAGTATGTTAAAAAGGAGGCATAGGATTCGGGTATTCTTGCGAAGTCGGATTGGGAGCCACTTGAGCTGTTTGCAATAGGGGGAGACGTGGTCATACCTTTTTTAGTCCAAAAATGTAACGAATACTTAAGTTTTGCAAGTGCTCATGTTTGTTTAATTGCTCCTCGGTCGCATCCAAATAACAGACATCAGCATAATCAAGAATCGGGAAAATAAGTGTTTGGACAAGAGAAATCTTCGTTAATAAAGGCAAAAAACTTTGAAGACATTTTAAAGTGTGAAACGTATAATTGATTTTCCGGCTAACTTCTGTGATTTATGTGCATTCCATATCAATTTGCAATTAACAGTTTCTGAAACGCTTAGTGGAGTACCATGAATTTGCAGGGCTGGGATTGAAGTTAAATCAAGTAAGCTACGAGTAAACCTTGTGCCTTTAATAATTGCTTGTGAGTTTTTGGGGTTTATAACAAGTCCATATGATGTAAACTACTCGCAGATTTTATTTATATCTTTATTTATTTCAAATATTGCTGAATTCGCTTCAGTCACTAGAAAATGGTGATACAGCTGCAAATCGTCTGCATAGAGATGAAAGTTTGAAGATATCACCTTATTGATACAGTTAATAAAGACGGAAAAGAGTAAAGGAGAAAGGACGCCACCTTGAGAAACACCCGTACTTAGGTTGCACCACTTAGATAAAGTTTCATTTGAACGAATATACTGAGAACGACCACGGAGATAGGAATCAAACTATAGAATAGTTGAAGGAGATACATTAATAGAATGAAGAATGCTAAGAAGAATATCAAAATCAATAGAATTGAAGGCACTACTAAAATCTAGCAGCACGAGTACTGTTAAGTAATTTTGGTCTATACCGCACCGGATATCATCCATTACCTTGGGGAGAGCAGTAGTTGTACTATGCCCAGGCCTAAAACCAGATTGAAAAGTACTTAAGATATCGTTACGGTTAAGAAACCAAATGTGTGTGGAAAATATGTTCAAGCACTTTTGAAATACAAAATGTTGGAATGATCTTCCACCACCATTGCGAGTCATAACAAATAAGAACAGTTTTAAGAGAAAATACAAAGAGTATTTATTAAGTACGCAGAAAATGTCATAAATATAAAAAAAAATCGGCAGGGGCTGAATATATGCAATTATGTAACTTACATTTACTACCAATATTCTTTTTAATAACCATTACGTTGTTCTAGCATAATTATTATAATTAGTCTGAATAAATAAAACACTACTGTAGCTCTTACTTTTAATACTATTATTTTTTTCATGCTTTTGTTTATATTACGTTTATATTTTGTTTATATTATGTTTTATCTCTTGTACATGTATATTAATTATCAAATTATTAATAGAAATATTATGATAACTTGTACTGGTTAATTATATAGTTCTTGTACTGGCTGAATGAATAAATAAATAATTTAGCACTAACAGCTATTTGTAATGTAATCGGTGATATACGCGTACTGTTATACTTTAGCTCACTAAGTAGGTATATGGGTGCTGATATAATAACAGCGTTGTAGATTCTCTGCAACATATGCTGAGTCAGAACCCTTTCATTGTCCTTCTAAAAATATTATTTTTGTATTAGTTTAACTTTTAAATAATTTAATTACTTTTGGTCAATGAATAAATATTATATTATTATTGTTGGGGTATCTATATAGTTTTTCATGGTTGGTTTTTTTTTTATATTTGTGTGGGGTATCTATATAGTTTTCTCATCTGAATGGTATGTATAAATATATAATTATAAACGAAAATGAAAAGATAAATATACATAAATATCAATAAAATAAAATAAATACGAAAATACATAAATAAATAAAAGCCCAACCAGATGGAAGCCCTCGGCAGGGGACACCAAACGGCCAAGGGTTAGGGTGAAAGGGAAAAAAACCGGCGGACGATGCGGGCAGTATCAAGGAGCACCGTCTTCTGCATTTGAGCCCGGAGCGGTCCGTCACGGAGTCCCAGTCGCCTCAGATGACCAGAGAGGCTTACTGGGATTAACCCATTCGCAGAGACGACTACAGGAATAATTTCGGTTGGCAGACCACCCCGCATGTCGGTCACCTCGTGAGCTAGGTCCAGATATTTTGTTCGTTTATCTGTTTCGGCTTTCACGAGGTTCTCGTCATACGCGATGGTAATATCGACCAAAAATATCCTTGACTGTGCCCGGTCCATCAGCACAATATCAGGCTTATTCGCAAGAATAGTCCTGTCTGTGATGATAGCCCGGTCCCAGTAGAGCCTGGCGCGGTCATTTTCGAGCACGGCTTCCGGCAAGTACTTGTAATACGGCAATTTCCGGTCCACGAGACCGTATTTCAGAGCGAGCTCGTGGTGTAGAATTCTGGCTACTAGGTTGTGCCTGTGCAAGTACTCAGAGTTAGAAAGCGCCGAAAAACCGGAGATGACATGCCTGAGTGACTCCCCGGGATGGCGACAAGCTCAACAGACGTCGACGGTGCCATCCTTTAGGATGTATCTCCGATAGTTATTGGTCTTAATAACCTGATCCTGTATTGCACAGACAAAACCCTCGGTTTCCCCGAAGAGGTCAACGAAACGTAGCCAGTTGAGGGGGGCGGGTGTATCTACGTGAGGCTCATGTAGAGCCCTGTAGTACCTCCTGTGGAGCTCCTTCTCCTTCCATACGGTCTCCCGGTCGGAAATGCTCTGTACTGCCGGGACTTGCCATTGTTCGTTGGCTAAGAATAGAGGGGTAAGTCCTTTATCACTAGAAATGACGTCATTATAGAATGGATCATCCGATCTCGCCAGGAAGTAATGACGGAGGCTGCACACTTCGCGATTATGCATGGTGAGCGCGCTCAGAAAGCCACGCCCACCATGCTTTCGCGGCAAGTACAGCCTCATTACCGACGATCTCGGATGATGCATCCTATGGGACGTCATGTAGTGCGGACTTTTCAATCCAGGGCGTTAAGTACAGTCTGACTCCACCTGAGTATGCCAAAGGTATACATGAGGACAGGCATGACCCAGCCGTTATATGCATGTGTCTTATTCACACCGGACAAAAGGCTGTTAAGCACTTTGGTCGAGCGTGCATAAAACACGTCGCAAACTGACTGTTTCATACCAGCCTCATCGATACCGATGTTCTGTGACATACCCAGGTATCGGTATGTTTCAGCCTCGGAAAGGGTCCTTAAGTTGACGGGCATAGATAAGGCTATGCCCTCAGAGTTAGCAACTCTTCCCCTTTCCACATGGAGGACCGCACACTTATCCGTCCTCAGCTCCATTCTAATAGAATTGCTAAATTCACAAGTGATGTTTAGCAATTCCATAAGATGGGAGCGACTGGAGACGAATAACTTGAGGTCATCCATATAGAAAATGTGGGTTACTTTTGCACCTCCTTTACGAAGCTGAAATCCCCTCGCGGAGCCCTCCAGTAAAGTACTGAGAGGGTTCAAAGAGAGGCAGAACCAGACTGGACTCAGACAGTCGCCCTGGAATATACCCCTTCTTACCCTTATGCGGCTTTACGCAGCCGTCATCAGCTCGCCTAGATGAAAGAGGATCGTACTCCACTGCCCCATACACTGCTCGAGGGAAGTCTCGAACTGTACAGTCAATCTTGTACAGCTCGAGGACCCTCTTTAGCCATGTAAGGGGCACCGAGTTAAATGCCTTTCTGTAATCTATCCAGGCGGCGGAGAAGTTCCGACGGTTGCGTTTCACCACTTTTCCTATGACCGCGTCAATGAGGAGTGGTTCCTTGGTTCCACGACCGCCGTCCCGACATCCATTTTGAGCGCGCGACATCACCTGATTAGAGTCCAGGTGACGAGCGATTCTCCCGCTCAAAATGGATGTTAGTGTCTTGTATATGGTCGGTAGACACGTGATGGGGCGGTATTTGCTCGGGTCTGTGGTATCCTGATCTTTAGGAACCAAGTGAGTGATCCCAGTATTGAAGAGGCTCGGGAGTGACTTCTGGTCGAGAGCCTCTTGAAACTGTCGGGCGAGCACAGCGTGATATACTATGAACCCCTTCAGCAAGTAATGATGCAGCCCGTCGAGCCCCGGACTTTTCCAGTTCGGGACCCTACGGACTGCCTCAGCCACGTCTTCTGGCGTTATGGTGATGGGGTCCATAGGCGTAACACTCGCACCCTGGCTCGCCACAACTTCCATCCAAGGGCCCTCGCTGTTTTTTACGGGCTCTGACCACAGGCCACGCCAGAATGCGATAATGTCAGCCTGATCCGGTCCTTGGCCCGCTCCACATACCTTTGGTTGCTCCAATGATTTATAGAGCCTCTTCTGATCACTCTGGAAGAGACGATTCTGGTTGAACCGCCTTGACCTCTCGGAAAATCGTCGAATCCGCTTCCCCCAAGCAGCGATCTTTTGCTTCAGGTCGTCTATGCGCTCCGTTAGTTTCTGCGTGATATCCGGCTGGGACAAACTGATATTTGTCCCAGCAAACGCCATCCTAACGGTGCGCATAATCCTCGGTCTATTATTACCCGACCTGAAGCTTGTCAGTCTGCCGATAAGGGCCCTTGCCTTTACGACACGGTCCTCGATTCTTTTTCTTCAGGCTGGGATGGCGCTACTTTGTGTAGTAGCGCGTCTAGCAATGGGATGTTTTGCGCCAATAATACGGCAAACTGCCACTGCGGCGCCAAAGAGAATCGAGTCCAAAGGTCCCGGCTTGCTTCCAAATAGGTCACCAGCATTGGGTTAAGAGCCCTCACGACAGCCCGATTTCGCTTGCTTAGGGGTATGCGGGGGAAGTCGCGGTCGATTTTCGAGAGGGGTGCTGCGCGTTTCCAAAATCGCCTCTTCCAATATACTCCTCATTTGCTCTTGTTCGTGGGAGACTATTTCATCGTCGTTCGAATCAACCACAACTGGAAGATCCATGCCGGCTTCCACGTGTGGATGCTGGTCTGTCGAATGTGGAGCTGCATCTCCAGCCATAGCCGATTCATTCGACGACGGAATAGCCTCACGTCGTAGTCGTTCGAGTTCGGCATCATCAAATATTTTCGAGCGCATGATGTACCGAACTCGGTCTGCCAGGTTTTGTTCCGTGACGGGTATAGACGGCTCCAGCTCAGCAAAAAAGCAATGCATCCGAGACCTATACGCTATTCCCACAGTTTCTTCCCCTTTCGCCCTATAGTACGCCCGCAATGCGTTTTCGTTCATGGATTTTGTCCAACGCATGCGACGTGCTCCACCAGTGGCGGGTGCCGCTTGCTGGGTCCGAGAAGACCCAGCCGACACCAAGCCTTCTGGTGGGGATGATGGATGCGAGTGGCTGCTAGGTGATCGTGCAGCTCCTCGCACTCGGCTGGCGGCCCGCATGCTGCCGCGTCCAGCGCCAGCTCCAGACGCGCCCCGGCGACCCCCAGGCAGCGGCCCTATGCGCGTTCCTTTCTGTGTTTCTTCCATCGTCCATTTTATGGGCGCCAAATAACTGGAGACGCCCAAGCCCGGCACCGTTTCGTGGTTGGGTCATATGCACAAACGGCCCTTTGCATCTACAATTTTGCCTAGGCACGGCGCTCACACCTCTTGGCAGGATGCTGACTGACTGCACCGACGTCGTAGTTTTGTCACATAACTGTTACGTTAGCGGGCGATGGCGTCGTCACTTCCCTACGCCTTTAGTGACCCATAGGCTCGTGCATATCATAAGAGCCTTCCTCTCAAACCGCACTTTCCGCTATTGAGTAGAGGGAACCCGTTTCACGAAACGCTCCCTAAAGACCGGGGTCCCTCAAGGCTCCGTCCCAGCCCTACTTCTCTTCGAACTCTTCACGATTAATATTCCAAAAGACCCAGTTAGGAACACCGCACTCTTCGTCGACGATACGGTTCTCTATGTATCCGACTACAATAAAAATAGTCTCAATTTTAATCTCCAAAAAGCTACCAATTGCCTAGACAAATGGTTTCGCCTATAGAGGATAGAAGTGAACCCCGAAAAAAGTATAACAGTATACTTATACTTTCAACGTATACTTTCAACGTAGTCCAACACCACACCATAAGACCCGCTATTCAAAAGCAAAACTAAAAGTTATTTTAAATGGCCGCCCATCCCTTGGGAAGAATCGGCCAAATACCTGAGAATCACATTCAGCGTCCGCATGAGTTTCGCGAAACACATAAGTGTAGTACGCAAAAATTTAAGTCAGTTATCGGCCGTCTTCAACCTATCGTTAACAGTAAGAGTAATTTGTCACTAAAACAAATCTCCAGCTATGTAAAACCTGCGTTAGACCTATAATAATAATAATAATAATAATAATCCTTTACTGCAGACACAAAGATTCATATTTCATAATTTCTTATGCAAGTGTAGCATTTGCCCACACATATAAAACTCGTCTTCTCGAACTTCAAATAATCCAAAACTATTTCATCCGAAAAGCTACCGTTGTGGTATAAACGGAACTCAGATTTGCACAACAATTATGAAAATCCCTCTATCTCCGAATACTTCAAGGAGATACCTTAGCCCTATTTCGATAGCGTCGAAACCCACCCAAACCCGCGAGTGACAAACGTAACCAACTACGTTCCAACAACAAATGTCGCGTTTCCTGTTTGTAGACCGCGAAATGTACTGATACAACCACCACCACCACTCGATCCAGTCAACCCAAACGTCGCATGTACATCACACAATAACATTACACTCACACCAAATGGGACGAGCTCCTATAGGATAACGGATGGGGCGCATCGCACCTGTAGGTGGGCGCGATGCATTCCAGCAAACACCACGTACACACCGTACACACGTGTACCTGGGTGGTTGTTATCGCCGAGAATATCGTCTAACACAAACTGAGCAGTCAGAGGCGGGGGTCCGCACTCCCCCACTCGGACAGCAGTTAGATAGCTCCAAAACGTCCAACGAGGCGACATGATGATTTGTAACAATTCCAAATCATAAACCATCATCATCATCATTAACCTCATGTTCATTTTCTTTCTTTTTTTTTAGTTAGGATATCAGTATGTCAATATCACAAACACCTTTATATTTATACCCACATTCTATTCGTTTTTTCTGATTACCTCCAACATTATACATAATAACCAGCAACCTTCCTGCATCAGAAGTGGGATTAAAGCTTTCCATAACAATCTTATATATCCATATTTCTATATATATATATATATATATATATATAAAGAACGGGATTATATATGGCGGCTCATCTTTTTTTATAGAATAGGACAAACATACGACAATACTAATAACAAACGAGCATACAGTCCTCCTGATGGTAAGTGGTTGCTGTGGCCCATAGACACCTACATCTATCCTCGAATACCAATCAATATGCAGTTACGTTGTCACCCGTGAGGCTTAACATAGAATGCCTCGTTTCCAGTTAAAAGGGTCTCCAATACTCTACACTCACCATACGAAACACAGAAGTAGTAAGCTATAGTAGCTTACTTTTACGCTGGTATTCTGTGAGAGCGTGGTCCTTCCCCAGTCAAGCCGATTCCTGCTACAACTATTGGTGGAGCGACGAGCCTAAGGTTACCGAAGTCCAATTCCCCGGTCGAACATTAAACCTATTACGCGAGATATTAACCAAAGTGGACTGTATATGCGAAATGCTTCTACGTTTACATAAAATGGCGACTATAGCACGCGGTTTCCCATACAATGCACTCGCTCTTCCCTAAAACGAACTATTATTTGCCAAATGTATGAAAGGAATCCTGCTTGATTAGGAGAAAATAAATTGGAGCGGACACAATTATATCAAGCAGTAACTAGTAAGAAATATTCACTCACCGGGGTGTTGCTTCTATGCGGCTTGGGCACTAAGTTGCTGCAACTTCTGGAAGACACTCTGGGGTAAAATCTCTTGGGCCCCAGCCTTTCTTGTCCGGTGATACGTCGGGAGAGAGGCGGTGCGCGACTATTTCTCACACGAGGTGCGGCGGGTTTCCTGGAGCTCGACTGCTTCAGGCTAAGCGGTTATACTAGCAGTGCGCGTGGGCAATAGCCCTTCTATTACACTATTGTCTTAAGCGGTGTGGTTCCAACGACGAACGCGGCGGGAAGAGAGTGCGCGTCGGCCGCGCGTGCCTTTTTATTCCTTGGTTGCGATGATCGCGTAATATTCTAGAATCATCTTCTTTCCCCTCCCACCCCACCACCCCGATCTGTCGATAGAAGGGTATGAATGATATCGTTTGGAAAGGGATAAACGATTTGACAAGCCTACCGTCAAATATAAATAATACGAATGGTTTTCCGCGCAACCATCTCCCCCCGCCCTTGAAGGATTTCCTTCAAAAAAATAATTATAACAACTAGAGCTAAGATTACCTTAATTCAACTACAATTTCTAATCTAGAAAGCTAATTTATATTATGGAAGAGGCAAGGGGCACAAACGGACAACAGCACGCATGTAAGACCCAACCGTGGTCTTAACGCGAGCTACCCTAATTACTCCGTCGGAACCGGGAAAGACCTCTTCAACAATTCCTAACGGCCAATGGAGAGGCGCCGTATTCTCTTTGGTGAGCACAACTACAGTTCCTATAGCTAAAGGCTCAGTTGTTGTGTTCCATTTTTGTCGAGACTGCAAAGTATGCAAGTATTCCATCCTCCATCGTTTCCAAAACGATTGCACTAACCGGTCTAATAATTTGTGGCGTGCGGAAATGTCTGTTCTCATCCATATCTACGGCGGGCAAATACTTTAAAGGCGTTAAATTCAAAAAATGTGCTGGAGTTAGAGCCAGCGGCTCCGAGGGGTCACTAGACAACGTACGACAAAGCGGGCGGCTATTCATTACGCATTCAATTTGAGCGAGCACCGTACTTAGGTCTTCGAAGGACAAAATTTGATCTCCTATTACTCGGTATAAGTGACTCTTTAGATTCTTAATATTAGACTCCCAATTGCCCCCAAAATGACTCGCGGCGGGGACGTTCAGAGACCACTCAATGCGGTTCTCGGCTAGAATGTGAGCGAACTCCGAATTATAATACTTGCTAGCTAAGAGCTCATGTAGTTCTTATAAAATACGTTTTGAACCGACCTAGTTCGTACCGTTATCTGAATACAATTTATTTACAGGGCCACGGTGGGAAAGAAATCTTTTAAATGCACCCATAAAGCCTGCTGTGCTTAGATCACCAACGAGTTCTGTATGCACCGCCCTTGTAGTTAGACATACGAAAATGCAGACGTAAGCCTTTGTGGATCTTATACCACGCCCGCGAGTGAGCGTGACCTTAAACGGACTAGCGAAATCAGACCCGGTGTGCGTAAAGGGCTTTACTGATTGTATTACACGACAAGATCTAAGTTCCGTCATTTCCCGAAATGACGGCTTGGGGCGTGCCCGAAAGCAAGCTATACATCTGTGCACCCGATTGCGGATTAAACTACGTGCAGAAAGAATCCAATAATTCTGACGCAAGATCGACATCAGCAAGATATGGTCTTTACGCGGTAAAACTATAGGGTGCCGTTGGTCGAAACTCAACTGCGAGTTAGACAATCGTCCACCTACCCTTACAATCCCATCCTGTAAAAATGGCTTAAGGCGTTGAAAGGCGCGACTACAAGCTCTATTCGATTGTAATCTTGTAATTTCTTCCGAAAAATTCGCACGTTGAAGTTCACGCAATACTAGCAACTCGGCATAGTCGTAATCGGACGCTAAGACATACGAACGTCGCGGTAAAAGCTTCGCGAATCGACAAACGTAAATTACGCTACGCAATAATTTCGACCAAGAGGACAAGCGGTTCGCCAAAGCGATGATTGGAGAAACCTCGCTCGAAACGTTCGCCACTAGAGCGTGTCTCCTCTCTTCCGGCGGTTGTGACACTGACGAAGGTTCGAATCGGTTATTGGCCATTGCGAGGGATCCAAGTGAACCCAAGAAGGTCCGTGGAACCAAAGCGGGTGGTCCATTATTTGCATCAGGGTGAGTCCACGGGATAGACAATCGGCAGGGTTTTCCGTACCGGACACGTGATAAAAGTTCTGCGTTTCTATCTCGTCTTGGATCTTGGCCACTCGAAATATGAGATGAAGAATGAAGTAAGGAAGGCAAATATCTTTTCTTGAACTCTATCTTACGTACTCTTTGGTAGTACTAATATTGCGCAAAGCTCTAAGCGTGCCAGAGAGACAACCTTACGGGGGGGATACTCTCGACTTAGAACTAATGAGGCTAATCGAATTTCTACCATTATTCTGAACATGGAAATATACAACGCCCCCCGTAAGCCTTCTCGCTGGCGTCTGCAAATCCAACGACCGTGATGACGCTATTTCTATCACGTTTATATGACGCGGTATTTTAATTTCTCTTAGTAAAGGAAGTTCCTCTCTAAAACGCTGCCACAACCGAACAATGCTGTCAGGCGGCGAGTCATCCCAATCGCATTCA